AAGATTTATTTTTAAATAATTACTAAAAACTAGAATTATAAGATTTTATAGTTTTATTATTACTTCTTGTTAATATATAACATTCTGTTATAATAATAATAATAATATAAGAATAATAATAACGCTAAACTTACTTTAATATTCTATATAAAATAAATTAATAAAGTTTAAGGTATAAAACCTTATAAAAAATACTTGATTTATTATAACTTATAACTATAATATTGATTATGTAATACATATACTTACGTAAGCACCTTATGTAATTAGCAGTTTAGCAGGTTACGTTTCAGGTTATCTTTCCCCTCACTTTTCCCTACTAGAGGATGCAACCTGCGAACAACAACAACCAGACTCATCACAATACATCTGTTCCCTTATTCTTATCTATACAATTAAATGCTCATAAATGCTCAGAATTATTACCTTTTATCATAACATTACCACATCTATAACCTTATACTATATAGGCGCATATACTACGCCCCTGTATACGCTTATACCTGTGCGAACACTTCTAACTATTCCTCTATTAATTTCCTATTAATAAGAAAATTCTATAGTAATAATTAATAGAAAACTAATTTATAATTTAAAGTTTTTCTCATTTTTTCTATTAAATCCCTCTCTTAAGTTATAAAACTTAACTAATATTAATAGTAATTTACATTTTAAAACTATAAACTAATATTAAATATACTATTAATAGCTACAATATAGTTAGACTAATAAAATATCTATCTATATTCTAAATAAACTTCTTCTTTTTATATCTTATTATCTATATTAACAAAAAAGGTATTATTATTATCCTAATTAATAAAACATAAGATTATAATTTAATTATAAAATCTCTTACTAAAGCTAATAATATATTAATAGTTATAATATTTTTACTAAAAAGTTTATAACTTTATAGCAATTACTTAATATTCTAAGTTTAATATTATAGCTTTTCTTACTAGTTAGTTTTCTAGAAAGAGATTCTTACCACTAAGAAGAAAAGTATTATTAGAAAGTAATAAAATTAAAGAACTTAAGTAATTAAGCGTAAATATTAACTACTAATTATTATTCTCTATAAACTTCTTTTTTTCCTACTACTTTTTCTTATAAGTTATATTAAGAAACTTAAAAAAAGAAATCTTAAAATTATACTTTAAAGTTAGGTATAAATCTCAAGATTATCTTTTTCCTCTTATACTATTTTCTTATAACTATTATGAAAAATAATAATAAAGTTATAGAAAAGAAAAGTTATAAAAAAAAGATATTAAGTCATACTACTAATTATTATAGTTTTCTTACTAGCTAAAAGCTATAATAAGGGTAGCTAAAGCTATATGTAAATAAAATAAATAATAATAATAAAAAAATAAATATAATTAATCTTTAAGTCTAATATTCTATAGTTTAAAAAAGATGCTCTCTTATACTTATAAGGTTTATACTTATATATCTAACATATCAAGAGTTCCTATAGGTATATAATTATTTATATACCTAGCTAACTTAAGTAGAAAGGCTTATAATCAATAATAAGAAAGCTATATTATATATATTTTATATTACTAAATAGGTTTAATAATAAGATCTCTAGTATTAATATATTGAAAGTATTTTACTACTAAAAGATAAAATATAATCTTATAAATATTATATAATAAAAAGAAACTTATTAATAATACTAATAGTTAATTTATATTTAGACTTTATAATAATATAACGTGGTTCATCAGTTAGCAACGAATATCAGTTAGCAACAAACTTTTTCCCAAATGCAGTTTACACTAAACCACTTAAAGCTTCGACGCGTAATTACTCTGCAACCATCATGCCAATTTATACATAAGAAGATAAGATACTTCTAGCTATTAGGGCGATCCAATCAGCCCATGCTGCCAGCCGAAAGCTAAGTGTGTTACATACTGCAAAGACTTATGGTGTACCTAAAAGTTCTATGCGCTATAGAATGAACAATCAACCCTGATGCAAACCTAACTAACCCTAATGATATAAACTTAATCTAATCAAAGAGAAAACACTTCTCTAATATATTATTAAATAGGATTCTAAAGGATTTCCTTTACACCTCAGTAGTGTGGAAGATATAGCTAATCTCCTGCTGTGAGTGCGTAATAGTAAGCCTGTTAGTAAGCGATAGGCTAGGCGGTTTGTGGACTTACAGCCTGCTCTGAAAACTAAGTTTAATTATCTATATGATTATTAAAAGGCTTTTTAAGAAGATCCTAAGGTTATATCAAAGTGGTTTGCGCTATTATGCAACATAATGGCTAAGTATAGCATCTAAGAGGGGAACCTATATAATTTCAATAAAACTAGCTTTATGATAGGTATAATTACTGCGTTGATAGTAGTAATATATACTGATCGATATAGCAAAGCAAAGTCTGTCCAGCCTAATAATTATGAATAGGCTATAGTTATTAAATATATTAATTTAGGCAGGTGGTGTATCCCTCTGTTTATAATCGTTAAGGGTGTATATCACCTTACTAGTTAGACTATAGAATTAGGTTTTCTAGGCAACTAGGTGATCAAACCTATAGCTAATAGATAGACGGACAATCAGATAGGCCTTAACTGGATTAAACACTTTAATAAATATATTAAGAACTAAACAGAGGGCGCCTACTAGATGCTTATTATTAACAGCTATAAAAGCTATTTATCAGCTAAATTTAATAATTATTATAAGCAGAATAATATTATAACTATTAGTATACCTGCATACTTATTATATCTACTATAGCTATTAGATATTACCCTTTATTTACCTTTAAAACGCATATATAGTAATAAAATCAACCTATTCATCAGAGCCTCTATAAATCATATCACTAAGTCAGAGTTCTTTATTGCCTTCTAATAGGCCCACAACAAGGGTTTTAATAAGGAAAACATCAGGTCTGCTTTCTAAAGCGCTAGAATTTCACCATAAGACCTAGACTATATCATCAAAAAGCTTGATATATATTTACAGACGCCTACACCTCTTATAGCTAACCCTTTAACACCACCACCTTAGCAGTTATAAACACCCTCTAACCCATAACAAACTATCTCACAGTCTAACTTTATCAAAAGTTATATCTCTATTTATAAAAGAAGCTTATTAACACTAATTATTACTGTAGTTAAGCAATTATTAAAAGGTGCATAAGTAATAACACACTTAATCACTATTTTAACTGATCAGCTTTATACCTTTAAGGATGCAAATATAGCACTTGCTAAGCGCTAGAGGGCTAAAAGAATATAGGTCCAGCTTAGAGGGGCACTTAGTATAGAGGAATCTCAGGTTTTGCTTGAAGGGAAACAAAGAGGGAAACAAAGAGGGAAACAAAGAGGGAAACATCCAGCACCTCAAGAGGATGAGGAGGGGGTTCCATTAAAGAGAGCCTAGCCAGCTTGGAGACGCTGTGGTGTGTGTGGTGAGACTGGTCATAATGCGAGAACCTGTTCTAAGGATGTGGAATTGTCAAATGATTTGAGTAGTAATGAGGAATAGTTAATTAAATGTGTTGTGGTTGTGTAATAGTAAATACCACCCACTATGTGGATAGGAAAAAGTTTGTTGCTAACTGATATTTATTGCTGACTGATAAACTATGTTATATTAATTTACTAATAATACCTGCTAGATAAATAATAATAATATTATAAGTTTTAAACTAATATATTTAATAATAGTTCTAGCCCCCTATAATATTTTAATATATATATTTAAGAGGAGTTAACTCTGTAAAGATAAAAAAAAAGATAGTATATAAATTCTAGTAAAAAAAGCTCTTTTAAAGCTATTAATAATTAATTTATATAATAATTTATATTAATTAATGCGTTTTTAGCGTTAATATGTATAAATAGGTAAAAGTGGCGTAAAGGGGTAATAAATCGCACACTAATAGGGGTTTTAGGTAAGGCAAACGCAAATAAGTGCTGCTATATAAGTAGCTAGTTGCACCTATAACATCAGCAACAAGCTAGGGGTGCTAATCTGCTTATCAGAAGAAACGCAAATTTATGCGTTTCTTCACAAAATTCAATAATATAAATATTTGAGTTTTCCACAGGCGTATTATAACTGAAGCTTTATCAGCATCTCAATATACCTCGCTTAGACAGAAACAGTCTCCACTATATAAGATAAGCCTTATAATCTTTTTCTCCTTTTCTCCCTTTCTCTCATTTTATTCGACCGGCTATCTTTATATAGTCCTAAGCTTATACGAACCATAGGTTATTAATTCCAACAGGCTAATTTCTCAGACAGCTGGAATAGCGAGAATACTAATTCCAGAAGTGACTCCAGGAAACACTATAGAAGCAATATTAAGAAGGACTACAGCTGCTATTACGTCACTGCATTAAAGTCTACAGATAGTACTAAAGTCAAGAGGAGTCAACATAATAGCAATCAGACTTAGCAGCAAAAGGCAGCTTCAGATATACGCGAGGACAGTAGTGGCCGTGGAAACCAACGAAGGCCTAAAGCGCTAGATCCTAGTTTGTTTATATCTTATCTGTTGGGTTTGATAATAGGAGAAAAAGATAGCTTAGTCAGCAGAAGCTGTTCGACCCTCGTGAGTGGGCAAGCGCCGCCCTTGGAGCCAAACACTGCGCAAGCAGCACCTCTGAGATCTATGAGAAACCTAACGCCGACTTTGGATGAAAGCCTTCTGGTGCAGAAACCTCAACCTTCGGGATGCAGAGTCTGCTATTCGGCTCTAAGTTCTTCACAGCCGGTATCCAAATCTCTCGGTAAAGGTTCTTGCATACTGTCAGAGCCAGATTCAGGAAACGAAATCGACGAGATAGAGGTCTATCCCATATATTTGCATGATTCAGAAGACGAAGCCGACAAAACAGAGGTCCGTGTTCGACGTCTACCCGATCCGGAGGCTTCGGTCAAGCCGAACATCTATGGGCAGTGGCGTCCAGTTCCTGAACGCCCAAAAAGAGACAACACCAACGAAATGCCACCCCGCATGCTCGCGGCTATCTTTCGCGGCACCACAGACAAGCAAAAGGGGGGCAAGCGGAGCTCCGATCGTACGTCGACGGCTCTTTGGCAGCCCAAGATCAAGCCCAAGATCAAGCCCAAGGAAGACAAACAAGATGGTCTTCATCTTGCATGTCCATACACCAAGTGCGACGATGCTACGCAAGAGCAGTTATTCAGGTGTCGCGCTAAGGCCTTTCCTGATACTCACAGACTCAAGTAAGCTGCTATCAGTGCATAGTAGCACATTTCTTCTGACTAAAGTCATCAGGCAGCATTTATATAGCGTCCATCGCCAAAAACCACACTGCACACGCTGCGGCGAAATCTTTGCCTCAAAGGTCGGCTTGGAAGCCCACTCTCGCTTGATAGAAGGATGCAACCTTTCCCAAAAGATTTGTATTGAAGGCTTTAATTCAACCCAGGAAGAACAATTGAGGAGCAAAAAACGACAGCCCAATTTGAGGACAGAAGAGGACAAGTGGCGGAATATCTTCCGAATTTTGTTCCCAGATTGTAGAAACATCCCGGATCCCCGTCAGTCTTGATCCTCCTTCCCAAGCGATGAAATCTTCGTGGCTGAATTCTGGAATAAGACTGACTGCTTTTAGACTACCATACTACTTCAGGCAGATCCATAAACCTGAAAGATGTCGAAAGTATCTTTGCCGATACTGTCCCCCGCGAGCTGGAAGAGCGTTTATTCTCGAAACTAGAAGCTATCAGCGGGAGTTTAGATGATGATCAACGCCGAGAGGTCAAAAGCATTTTCAAAGACTTCACAAGCGAAAGAGTACGCCAGATCACAGAAAAGACAGGCTCGACCAGTAGGGACGAAATGGACACAGCAGAAACTATTGAAAGAGATGGCCAAAACTCAGGTTGCCTGCCTACCGACGTAGATTCACAAGAAGAATCTCCCGAAGACACAACGATCGGCCAAACCACCTCCACTGAGTCTGTGGGCTACGTTCCACTGGGTTTGGAGCGAAATCCAGTGCACACAGACGTTCCATCTCAGGTAAGGCCGTCCGGTGTGCTCTCTGAATCCGAGAATGATACATTGGAGAGAACGTGGGCGGCGTGCAACGAAGATATGGTTGAAGTTTCGAGCTATGGCTCGGCGATGCATGATGGCCTTGACAGGTTTGTCGAGGCGTTGCATACATCCGACAGCGACGTACCGAACACCTCGTCTGATTGCAACTTGACGGACGTCCTTCGGCTTACGTTCGACGATGATCATTTTGCACAAGGCCCGGCCGGAGGGCTTTCTTCGGGGCAAGGGCTTTGGGGCGATTCTTTCGCTAATTAAGTTGCATATCCGGAGGTTCTAAGCAGTTTGTAACTAGGCTAGCCGGAGTAACCATGATCTATGGAAACGGAAGGTTCATCCTACTTACTGACTTAATGTTGTCAATAATAATTTTATATCTGGTGGTACTGCTGTTTGTTCCTCTGTCTCTGCTGGTCTTGCGATCAGTCCTGCCCTTGATTTCGGACACACAAGCTCTGTACCAAAACCACATTCAAGTGTATACTGAACATGCCTTGTGGTAAACTTTCGCTATTATAAAGGCACTTTACATGATTCGAAGCTAATGGACTGGGCACCGACCGAGGTGCTTTTACTGTTTTTTCCTCTAATGTGAAACTCCCTGGGATGGCTCGAGTCTTTCTCAACATTGAGGCACTCCACAATCATAGTTTGCAGAAAAAAGGCACCTCAGACAATGGCGGCATCTTGTCTAAACTGACGAAGAACCCAGCTCACAAAAACAACCTCGATACGAGACATACTAAACCAAGTAACTGGTTACCCATCTCTTGATATCAGCCTACAATTCAACACTTTCAAACCCTCCACTTGTCTTTACCCAAGGGTCAAGGCGCCTCTTCAACGCTTCAACATCCAGCATGCCGCTCTTTCCAACACCATCAGCCGTCGTCGATGGAATCAACACCTCATCGAGCACATGCACAACACCATCCCTAGCAGGCAAGTCCCTCACCGAAACTTGTTTCCCATCCACCTTCATCACCCGCCGGCCCTCTATCCCGTGAACATGAACAGAGACACCGGCCCCCAGCAAAGTCTCATACCTCCCCGGCCGAGACTCCCTGGTGTGATCAACCCTCACGTCCGTGTACAGGATCTTGTCCACGATGATGTGATACCTCACCAAAGCCCTAAAATACCCTGCTCCCCCCTCCCCAAACAAAAAGCTCTTGACTTCAACACCAAACTTATCCCAAGCCTCATCCGACGGTGCAAACACAGTCACACCCCTCGGACCCTCCAAACCCGCCTCCTCGCCAACGCCCGTCTCCTTCAGCGCCCTCGAAAACACACCCAGCCGCTCCGGTAACACATCAATAAGTCGATCGAACCTCGGTGGCGGGATAAGCACATCATCAACAAAGTGCACAACCCCATTCTTCGCCCGCCTCTACCACCCCATCAGCCTCACGTCATCACAGACATCACACAGAAAAGCACTTACAGATTCACCCCCCAAAAGCCGGCTATAAAAGTTCAGCACGACATCCTCCCCACCACCGCCTACCCTCAGCCTCAGCCTCTGCCGGCGCCCCGTCCCGCGCTCCTCCAACACCGTCGGCACGGTCTGCATCCCCCGAAGGGCATCCACGGAGTACACCCCCTCGAGAACGTGATACTCCACCATCTCACGCACCAGCGCCTCGTCGCTCTGATACATATCCAGCTTCCGGAACGCCTCGTCGGTGGGCACGAAGACCGTGAACTGCCCCTCGGCACCGGCAAGCCTCGACCGAAGGGCCTCTTGTCCGCGTAGCAGCGCCGCGAACCGTTCGTGCCCGCTCTCCTGAATTATTTGGTAGACACTCTCCGCGAGGTCTTTTTCCGGCGCCGATTCGTAGCGGTAGATTTGCGCTCCGGCCTCGACGTCGTTAGTGGAGCTCGTGCCAGACCATGTAAGTCTCCTCGCCGCCGCGCCAAGAACCCGTCCGAACGAAGATACAACCCCGTTGGCGTCCAGAACAGAAGTCCATGTGGAAGCACTCGTGGTCCCTTCCGCAGCGGCAGAAGCCTCAGGCAAAGAAACAGCCGAAACCACAGCCGCCAGCGGCACCAGCGCCCCAGCAATCCTCATCTCTGCGTTCTCTTCTCCGCTATCCGGGATATCGTCGTCGTTATTGTTACCGTTGCTTAAAGGCAAAGACGAAGACCGAACACGCCCAATCAGCACCTCAGACAAATTCCTGCGCAGCGTTGTCGAAGGCTCAAAGCAGACACGCACCCTTCGCCCCATGGAGAAGGAAGAAATCCAACGTCGCTTATATATGTATACATATACACACAGTCTCTCTCAGCACGAAAGACGATTTCGTAACAGAATCGAACAACAGGAGCCTTGAGACAAAGAACCCACTCGGTTTTCTACAAAAAGAATAATCCAATGGGTTCTGGGGTTTGCGGGCTGCCGGAGCGCCGCCCGCCGCCTCTTCCCGGTCGAGCGTGGCCATCCGGGTCCGCAGAGCCCCCGCGAGCCAACACACACGTCGCAACGCGGCTTTGTGAGCGGCTCCGTTTCCCATTATAACGCAGAGTAAAAGTGCTTATAGATTGCACTGTATGTGGTAAGAGTCATTTTTCTGCATAGTGGGTTGGGACAACAAGGTTGCTAGCTAGGCTGTCAGATGCTGGTAGATGAAGAAAAACAGTGACGCAGCCAAGCCTGCGTTTGATCCACATGCAAGCTTTCTTCATGACTCCCGTCAAGCCCGTGACTGTCAAGCGTGAAATTCCTGTAAACCAGGGGCGCATCAACGTCAGATACCCGTGCTACCTCACACCCGCGGGCCGCCAAAGCCGCCCACGACCCTAACATCTCCGACATTCTTCGGCCTCCCCTCCGCGCCCTCAAACGCATCCACGACCCTGCCCGCCCTGACGTCCACGGCCGTCCACCGCTGCTCCCTGCACCTTCTCCCCCCGGGCGCGGCCCCTTCCTCCCAGACGCCCAGCTCGTCGAGCAGGACCTCGACGACCCACGTATACCGCACGCCACCGCCGCCGCCGTCGCCCTGGTCAGGCGGCGCGTACAGCCTCTCCGCATCCTCCCTCGTGCGCGGCACCTTGGTGCACAGCAGGTGGAGGTCGAGAAGCTGCGCGAAGACGAGGCCGAAGGTGGGCTTGTTCCGCCGCGCGGCCGCGTGGCCGGCGTAGCCTGGTATGTCCAGCTGGGGCGGGTTGAAGACGGACCGCAGCGTCGCGGCGAGAGGCTTGCTGCTGCTGCTGCTGCTTCTTTCGTCTGGTGGTGGTGGTGCTTCGGAGGGGGGCATCGGCGGTGGCTCCGTCAGCGTCTTGCTCTTTGAGGAGCTGGTGCTGCTGAGGAGCATGATGAGCGGGCTGCTGGAGAGGCTGCGTGAGAGGTAGCGTAGGAAGGCAGATAGGGACTGTAGCCCGTCGTGGGCCGATGCCCTGTCGCGTCCGGTGAAGAGGGCCGTCATGAGGGTGGAAAAGTGCGTGATGAGGATTATGTCCGGGGGCGCGGGGGGTTCGGGTTCGGTTTCCCTTCTTGGGCTGCTGCTTCTTCTGTCTTGGTCCTCGACTGGCGGCTCTCGAGGAGTTGAGGGCTTCTCTTCCTGTTTCGCGTCGGGGTCATCGTGGGAGTCGGACTCCTCTTTATCTTCAGGGACAACGGCAGGGTCGGGTGTAGCTAGCATCGAAGCCATTGACGATGGCGGCGGCGACAGATCCGACAGCTCTGAAGAAGACGGCGCGGGCGCTTCATCGTTCTTGCCCGCGTTGATATCGTTGTCCTTGCCGTCCTCGCCATCGCTGATGTCATCCTCCTCCTCGCTGTCCGCAATCTCCGTCCTCACCGGTCTTCGCTGCGGCGACTTATACGCAGGCTTCAGATCCGGCAAAGTAATCCTCTCGGGCTCCGGTGAAGCGAACTCCTCCTCCTGCCCTTGCGACGCAAGCAGCACCTCCGGTTCCGGCACCAATGGGGCCTCAGAAACTGGACTCCCCGGCGGAATGTCCAGATCGCCAAGCACCTCCCATAAACCCTCCAAATCGAACACCCTCGTGATCGACACGCGCTCCAGACAGGAAACAAGCCTGCCCCTCACCTCCGCCCCCGTAACGCCGCGGGCCGCGAGCTCCGCCTTGACCGCATCCCTCAGCGCCGGCAAGATCGCAGCGGGCGGCTGTGCCGTGACGACCATCGCCCTGCTCGGATCAGCCTCGCCCTCGCTCCCGCAGAGCTCCGTCGCCACCGCCTGCAGCGAAATCTTTTCAATCGCCTCGAGTCAGCCCCCAAAAAAACCACTGACAACATGTGCAGAGAAACTCACCATCAACCCCATCTGCTCGCTCTCAGAACTAACCCCAACCACGCTCCCGCGCTCCAGCCCTCCTCCCATGAGCACATACTCATCCACCTCGCGACACCCGACCCTCACCGGCCCTCTCTTCTTCAGCGCGTCCCGCCGCTTCGTCTCCCGCCGCAGCAACACGTCCGCCGAGACCGGTTCAATCGGGAAATGCGAGCTCGCCTGCGATGGTATCATCATCATCCCACCGCCAGCGTCCGCAGCATCCTCGTCGCCGTCCATGGTGTGTTGTTATTGGGGGCGTAATGGTACTGTAAGGTACTTTCCCCCGACCCCGCTCAGCACCGCCGCTCAGCTTCGTACCACTGCCGTCTTCGGAGAAAATAAGGAGAAAAATCGTACCGCGTCATTTCCGAATATTGTCTTGTGGCAACCTTTTCCCCCAGCCCGCCAAGCGCGCGATTGCTGCTGAGCTCGATGCAGTGAGGGTGTCACTGGACAGGTCACATGATGGAAGAGCCAAATAAGGTTTCGGGGAAGCTGGGGGCGAGTCCCCCGTCGCCATCTCGATCAGGTCTCGGCGCAGACACTTTGGACAGGCATGTCCAGCCACCCTCAATGACATCATTCCCTTTTCTTGCATGAAATCTGGGCATGGCACACCTCCATCTCCCCTTTGCTGAGATAACAAAGCCCCTTGCAGAGCATCCTTGCATGAATGACAAGTCATGCACATGCACATTAGCCTTCCGTATCAATGGGCTGATCCCTCGTTCCAAAAATATCATGCACACTCGCTCAAATACTGCTGTAGGGATGAACACAATCCGAGGCCAAATAGTCTCAATTTTTTTCAATAAAGGCTAACTCATAACAATCTGCCAACGGACTGTTGGCTGCCTGCTCTATGCTATCCTCTTGTGTAGTATGCCTCTCCTGGGCCCAGAATACTTGTAGCAAAAGAGGCGGAAAGACGGGGGACCTATTCCCCCTTAAAGAAATATGATTATCCACGAAAGGTATCACAATACGCCAGGCGGCTCCTGAAAAAAGGTGCACAGCATTGGTGCACCCTGTCTGCCCTGGCCTTCGTAGTTCTCGTCCCGATGGCTTTCTCCAATATCCACCCAAACCAATTCGAGATCCCACCCAACCACTACTCTTCACTCCTGCGGGTTCCAAAGTGATTGCTGCACAGATACCGTTGTGATCGAGCTCATTATCCAGTGTAGTGTGAAATGCTGCTGTGTCGTCTTTTGTTCAGAAGGGAATCGTGGCTCTTCTGGTTTTATTCGACCCAAGCGCGACTGACTGCTTGTCTGAAAGATAAATGTGGGCTACGCGCTCTTGCTTGCGCGCATCATCGCCTCGACGCTTAGACGCTTTGTTCTTCTCAGCTTCCTAAGGCCTGCGTCTCCACTAGGCGGCAGTTCCAGGGGCCGGAGGAGCCATGGCATCAGAGGCCTGGCGTCTGCGTCCTCCCTTCAGACTCTTGACTCGGGACAGGAAGCCTCCGGACGACTTGCCGGGGGCCTCCTCGGTGGGCGACTTGACGTCAGTAGTGTTACGACGCTCGAGGGCATTGGCAGAGCCTCTACGGGGGACCGGCGGAGGGGTCCCGGGTGACTTGGCGCCGTTGTCAGTACGCTTGACTGAGATGCTCTCAGGCTCCTTGCCGTACTCGGAGAAGAACGGGTTTCGCTCGCTCGTGTACGAGATGCTGGTGGAGGGCCCAGCACTGTCAGGAGACCTACGGGAGTGGTAAGCACCCTCTGGATTCGTCATGCGACCAGCAGGTCCGTACTCGCGAGGCTCCCTCTTCATGCCACGGATACGCTGAGCGATGGACTTGTTGCGCTTCAAGCCGTCGGTCTGGCTCTGCTGAGCCTGCTCTTGCTGGGTGCGCTGGATCGCAGTGCGTGCGGCGGGGGTTCCCTCGAGGAAGGTCGAGGTACCGAGACCCATGCTCTCCTCGCCGTGGAGGATAGAGCTGCGGGCTCGGGGATCGAACACGGCCGGCTCGTTCTTGTGCTGTTGGTAGGGATCTCTGGCTCCAGCGGAGGCAAAGTCAGCAGACGCGTCGCCGTCATTGTTACCCATGAAAGTGGCGTGGTCGGGACGCTTGTTGAGGGGTCCGGCTCCGCCCAAGGACATGTTCAGCGAGTCCTTGGCGAAAGCCTGCATCGGGGCGCGGCGGCTGCCCTTTCGGTTGCGGTGGGGGTTTGCGGCGTCGAATGGGCCATCGTGGTGGAACACTGAAGTCGTTAGTATCGAGACAACGATCCAAGAGGTTCTGACCTACATCCGGTGCCGTAGATGCTAGTGGCGTCCAATTGATCAATCACATCAATCCGGCGGCTGGGCTTCTTAGGGTGTCCTTCTCCTTTCCTTCGCGTGCGCGGCGCTCCCTCTCACGACGTCTGGCCTCCTTAGCCTTCTTTTCTTCGTCGGTAAGCGGCTTTTCGATGTCAATCAGGAGCGAAGAATCCGAGTTCCGGCGAGGGCGGCGCTCCTGAGGTCGTCGCTGCGGGGAGCCTGGAGGCCCAGAAGGTCGGGGCGGGCCGCCACTAACGCTGCCGTTGCCTTGCATTCTGCGCTGTCTCATCGCCTCCTCTTGGGATCTCGAGGGACGGTGGCCGGGAGGCGGGGGACCACGGCGACCGGGGCCAGGAGGACCAGGCGGGCGGTTTGCGGGAGGTCTGCTCCCTTCGGGGCGTGAAGACTTCTTATCGTCGATGTTAAGGCCGTCCTGTGATGAAGATTGTCAGTCAACTCTGCGACGGTCGCAATCGCAGCGACCGGTAAAAGCGTGTTCAGATTGAACAGTGCCCGAGTCGTGCAGGTTGGGCACTTACGAAAAGCTCCTCAGCGGTCGGCGAGGGCGCCTTTGGGTCCAGCGTTGGTGCCATTGTGCCTGCTCCGATCAAGTTTGGTTGACTAGACGAATATGATGGATCGAGGAATGGATTTCGCGAGACTGGGCGAGGAGGAGGGTCGTCAAAAGGCGAAGCGGGCGAGGTGGTATTGCTATAGGTGCCGCCGGAGAGGAGTGGGGAGGCGGCGCGGTTGCGAAAGGGGTTGTTGGAGGAGAGATTGAGTGTTAAGCCGGCCGACCTGCTAGGTTGGTGACCTATTCCAAGGAAGTAAAGTCAGTAATAGACAGGAGAGAGACGGCACCGTGCATGCGAATGACGGCGAGGGGGATGGGATATGAAACAAGAGGGCCGTCTACATGACACAGCAGGTTCGACGATTGGGTGGAGCGGGCGTGGTGCTTGCGTTTGCTTGGGCGGCAGTGCAGGCCGTAAAAAGGGCGGCTCTCCTCCCGTTGGACAGGGCAAAAGTCAAAGGGGGAAAAAAACCTGGGAAGATGGTGGCAGACAGGGAAGAAAGGGGTTGTGGTGGGTGGGAGCGGTGCCAGGCGCAAATCAGTGCTTGATGCTTGGCTTACCTGGCTGTGCTGATTGTGCCGTTGACATTTTGGCGGTTGTGAGGTGTGGCACCCGTGCTTTTTGACGGGAGGGATAGATAATGAGGATGGACAGGCGGCGTAGTATTGAACTCAAGGGATCGGCCTTTTTTCGCGGGTAAAAAAAAGGGGAGCTGGCTGAGAGAGCACGAGAGTCGTTGCTAGCAAGCTTGGTTTTCGTTGGCCTAAATGCCCGCTCCTAGCGTCATGCCTCTGCAGGGACGCCAAACAACGGGATTTCGACGGTTCCTCGGCAGGTGTGCAAGCAAGCTGCAGGCCAGAGTGCGGGTGGTGCGGTCGCGGGAGTCGGGAACCGGAGAAGGTCGACCTGGGCAGTTGGGGATCAGGGCGTGGGCCTTCGGAGCGAGCTACCGCTTGGAAGGGGGAACAATCCGAAAAGGAAAGAAGAAAAGAAGGATGAAAAAAGGGGTGCGCGGTGACGACCGAAGGTAACGTCGAAGAGCCCAATGACAATTGAATATCGTATGTAGTGTAATGCAACTGATGCCGGCGTGCTGATTCTGGACGGTGGATGGATGGATGGATGGATGGTTTGTTCAGGGCCCCTTTGGTTCGGAGGGGGGCTGATGGATTATCGGATGGATTATCGGATTCAGGGGGAGATTGCTGGTATGCTGGTTAGCGACTGTATTAGCTAGGAATTTGGGTGGTAGGGCGGTGGATCTGGGGATCCATCCACGAGCGAGGTTGAAGGGGTTTGGCTGCTTGGGGCGGAATTGGGGGTTTATTTTTTTGGGGGATCGCAAAGGATGGGTGACGCCGTGAATGGGTGAACTGGCAACCACACCACGAGGTGCCATGCCGGTGGGCCAGAAAAGGAAGTGCAAGCTCACCTTCTTTTGCTCGTCCCTCTGGCTTGCTTTTTCTGTTTTCCTTATCCGGGACGCTGTAACACGTCTTTTTGGTGGAGCGAATCGGGCGGCTTAATATGCTGGCGATCCACGCTGGGGAGGCTGGCGATCGAAAAATCCAGATCTCACAGAAGACTGCCAAGCGCAGATTTCGCGTGCCTGTGTTTGTATGCTGCGCTGCCGTGCCGTCGACTGACGGTCGTGTGTGCGTGTGACGGTGACCTGCTCGGTGCGCCTGCAACACGGACCCGGATCGACCCAACTTCTTGGTGCCTGCGGTAAGTTCAAGTCGGACGAAGGACCCAACGGGGTTGCGTCGTGAGAAAACAAGGCGGCCGTGCTGCCAACTCTGTCTCGGTGCCGTTGACTGGGATGGGCTGGCGTCTCGCCTCGGAGATGGCCCGTTGGAGCCGTTTGTCTTTTTTTATCTCGACCCTTCTTGAAGCTGCGAGGGAAACCGCCGGGGTAAATGCGCGTTGTCGGCTACGATGCGGTAATGTTTCTGCTGCGTGGTTCCTGTTCGGTAATAGAGTGGGAAATGGTGTTTATGTGGTTGTGTGGTTGTGTGGATGTATATCGGTGTCGCTATTGCCGGTTCGCTTCTCGAGGGAATGCGGGCGTCGGTATGTGCTGGAACGGGGTATTTGATGCGGCGTGGAGGAGGATTGTGGCAGAGGTTGAAGATGGTGAGAGAAGATTCGCGAGTGAGCGAAAGAGTGGCGTCGCGGCGGCAGGCGAGAAACGAAAGAAGTGAAGTTTCGAGCCGGGGCGGAGAGAGCAAGGCAAGGTAGGAACTCGCGTGTCCCTGGTGCGAGTAGTTGTTGTTGCGAAGTAACAGAGGCAGGCGGTGGAAGGAAAAGCTTGGGGTACCTTGAGGTGATGGAGGGTACAGGACAGGAATCTTGTGAGGCAGGAAAGAGCCAACGAGGCAAGAGTTGAGGAAGGAAGAAGAGGAAAGGGTAAATGAGGGACAGAGCAAACAAACAGCTGAGCTGAGAGTAAGGTAAGGAAGGTAAGGTACGGCAAGTGAGGTTTAAGCGGGGAAGCAGAAACAGGCAAGAGCAATGATTTATTAGAATTAGGTTAGTTTATTCAGGACAGCGGCTGAAATACGGATGCAAGTGCAGAGGCAAGTGCAGCCCAGGCCCGGTCCTGCCAAAGACGTCCAGTCTCCAGTGTGGTGAGGGTGAGGGTGAGCCTTGAGGGAAGGAAGGAAAGAAGCAATGGATGGAAAGGACGACTTCTACCGCACCTTCCTCACTTCCGATCCCCGCGCATTCCACCCGCCCCGATCACCTTCCTTCCACTCATCAGACTGGACTTCTCTCCTCTCACCTCACCCTATGACCCTCACGCCCTCCTCCCCTCAGCCCGGGTTTGTGGCTGCATCGTGGGCGCTGGACGGTGGGCGGTGGGTGAGCGGGCACGGCATGGTCTGTCACTGCTTTCCTTTGTCTTTGACAGAAACGGTACTTCCGCCTCCTTCCACTTTTGTTTTCTTCTCTCGAGTACCTAACCTTGGTCTACTTGCCTCACCTGTCCTGCCTTGCCTACCGGCTTTCGGCTTCATGCCCGGGCGTTTCTTGGAGAACAATAACAACATCGTCACGATCGAAAACCCTCTGAGGTCCCTCGTCGCCGCAACGCTTAAACCCTCGACTCCGTCCCGCGTCTGGGTCTGTCTGACATTGCACCACAACGATTGGGCTCGAGCTCCAAGGCCTGGCCCTCCTCCCACGCGCCCTCCTCAGATTTTAAAATGGATTCACCCAGCTTGTTCAACAAACGATGATCCACCGCTGTTCTGCACCTCTGCTGCTCTACTCTCGAAGCGGCATCGCGGAATGGGGTCCTGGAACACTAGCAACGACCAACGCGGGAGTGATGGTCCTCGGTCGACCGGGGTGCAGACCAGACGTGCCGACGACACACCCCAGGACCCCTAATAATCCTAATTATTCTAAACCCGACCACCGCAACTGCAATTCAACAAATCAACAGCCCGCCACGACGACAGGGGACCGACGTGCCCAGACTCTCTCTCGCCTGCTGCTGCTGCACCTTCGCTTGCGAATGGAGTTCCGCAAAATAAGACGACGGTGACAATTGACAGATGAGGACCGCCTGCTCATCCAGACATGCACCCAGAATTGACCCAGAGAATCAAACACCACGGCCACTACCACCTGCTCATCTCGACCAGGCCCGGACGGATCCTGCCTGCCACACCAGACGAACACCTCACACACCACCAAACGTGCAACTCCCGCCGCCGACGCTGGAGCCATCTGACCGACAATGCACCACATCCACATCCGCCTGCACGCCCACCCAGAACAAATGCTCCCACGAATAGTACTGAGGTACGGATAGAGAGCAGTGCCATGTGCACAGCCGGCTACTACCGACCGGCCCTTCTTTGGGCCACGCTACCTGGACTTGCTTCGGTGTCAGAGGATGAACCTGTGGCATGTACCTGACGTCGCCAGGTCTTACAGAGTCGTTTCTTGGACGAAAAAACACCACCAGCAAAGACCACTCGGTGCTCTCGGTACCTGCCCTGCCCACGTCTGCACGGCTCTCCTCCACCCAGACCCAGCTTTTCCCTCTTTTCTTTTCTTTGATGAAATGGCACACATACGTAACAACACAATCTCGTCCCGAACAACCCGTCCGTCTTCGATCGGGTCGTTGAGCTGGTGACACCACGGCTGCACTGCGCTGCACTCGATCAAGATGAAGGATGGAGCTGTTTGCCCGCCCCGGTCCATGTTCCCTTACCTCCCATCTGGACATGACGAAAATCACAGAGTCACACAGGGACCTGGTTCGCCGCCCGCCTTCTCGACTTTGCTGGACGCAACCTCGTGTAGGCCCCCTGGTCGTCCACCTTACGCTAAGGAAGCATGGGGTGCAGCACCGTGGACGTCAGACCAGCCGATGCACCTCCTCCAACTGCTCCAAATGACCCAATGCCTTCAATTTCGCACCAGCCTCGGTTTGCCTCGACTGCACCAACAACAGCCAGCCCTGTTCTTACCGCTATTGTATCGTATACCGCAGACTAGCTGCAGCTTCCGAGGTCTGTGTCTGCATAGCTCTTTCTGTCACCTCAAGCACGAAAGAGCCCGTCGTTTCCTGCTGACGCGTGACGCTCCCAGGAATCTCGAGCCGTTCGCTCCCCCACAAGGCCCGGCCATCTCGGTGGCGTCCAATAGTCACTCTTCATCGGACATTTCACTTTGTCTTTTCGATCCCAGCTCCCACCCGAGCGCAAACAACCAGTCACTTCATCATCAGTGCGTCAAACCTAAGAGATTTGGGCAGAGAACAGACCCGCTTTGTTTGACTACGGTGGGAATACAGATACGCATCCGCTATATGTATGTCGTTATCTGCGGGATCAAGATCGACCCGCGACTCACTCAGCAACCGCGCATGTTGACTTGCCGATTTCCTTTGCCAAGCCGAACTCCGAACAGGGAAGTTAGGATACAACACGCAGCCAGCTGGCAACCTCCGGGGAGGGAGACGGCGGACGCCCTCCAAGCCCTCCCATCTCAGCCTC